GTGAGAAATCGAAAAACCCTAAGGTGGCGTTTGGTTCGTATGAATTCCTTGGAATTAGGGGGAATTGAAATTCAATTCCACCACTTTCCCATGTTTGGTTCAAGTTTTCAAAGGGAATTAAAATCTCTCATGACTTCAATTTTCCATCAAATGAAGGAAAGTGAATTCCATCAATTCTATGATAGAATTCAATTCCCTTGTTAGAGGGAATTGAAATTTGACCATATTACCCTCATCAATCTTTTGGTAATTTATTCATATATTGAATAAAAATATTTTTTTTATTATTTCGGGTCGGGTTTCTAATTCATATATTTGGATCGGGTCGGTTTTTTTAAGTGTGATATTCGGGTCGGTCGAGTTCAGGTTTAGGGTGAAAAATACCCGACCCGACCCGAAAATATATATAATTTTACCTTATATATTTAGGAATAATTACAATAATACCCCTCTCTATATAATTTTTTTCAATTAAGTCACTGTTTTTATTGAATAAAAATAATTTTTTTATTATTTCGGGTCGAGTTTCTAATTCGTATATTCGGGTCGGGTCGGTGAAACTTTATTTTGGTCGGGTCGGGTCGATTTTTTTTAAGTGTGATATTCGGGTCGGGTTTGGGTTTAAGGTGAAAAATACCCGACCCGACCCAAAAAATATATAATTTTACCTTATATATTTATGAATAATTACAATAATACCTCTCTATATATAATTTTTTTTCAATTAAGTTATTGTTTTTATTGAATAAAAATATTTTTTTATTATTTCGGGTCGAGTTTCTAATTCATATATTCGGGTCGGGTCGGGTGAAACTTTATTTTGGTCGGGTCGAGTCTCGGATGGAGGTTCCCTTGTTCTCGGGTCGGGTAGACAAAAAATCCGACCCGACCTATGACCATCCCTAATTGAGATAATTTTAACTTATGATGTTTATTAGCATAATTTTTATAGTTTATTGAAATGAATAATCAATCAATAATATTAAAATTTAATATTTTTATAATTTTTATAATATATTGCTACATGTAATTTATAAAACAAATTAAAATTAAGCAAAAAAAAAAAGAAGAAGGATAATCCTGTCATTTTACATTACTGAAATCAAATTTATCTGACATGTCTACGAACCAAATAGAATATGGAATTGAATTCCAATTCCTGACAGATTTCAATTCCTTCACAGATTCTAATTCCTTCACATATTCTAATTCATTCACAGATTTCAATTCCCTCAAAAACATTTTAACGAACTAAACACCACCTAAGGTTAATTTCATTCAATGAAAGTTGCTCAACAAAGTTAACACACAATTAAATGAGAATTTACTCGAAACTTGATGACCACGAAGTGTACTTTACCGAATAAAAAGGGGTTTTTACATAACTGACACCGTTTGATTATAATTTTACTTTTCTGACACCGTTTGACCAATATTTCCAGAACTAGCACCCTTTCTGCTGAGTTGGCAAAGGCGCGTCCCCGGGGGCGCGCTTTACCCGTGTTTTTCGCTGAGTTGGATGCCACGTGTGAAAGGCGCGTCCCCGGGGACGCGCCTTTGCCAACTCAGCAGACACGTATTTTATTATATAATAAATAGTTTATTTTTATTATTATTATAAATTAATAATATATTATGTAAAATGTTTCGATTATAATGTAAGAATTATCAAGTTTCGAGTATTTTTGATTTTGATTATCGATCTATTAATTTTATCAGTTAATTATTTAAATGTTATCAATCAATCTAGTCATCTCATATCAATATTTAACGAAAATATTGATGCATAAGTTAATAAATTAGTATAATTACATATTTAATCTTCAAGACTTACATATTTTATAAAATTAGTCTTATTGAAAATTTAATTTAATAAATTTAATCCTCTAATCAGAACATGAAATGTGTCATCGTATACATAAATTTTTTAATAACTTATAATTTGTTTAATTTAATATTTTTCTCTACTTAGAAGGTGGAATTATTATTATATTTAAAAAAAATTATAACTAATAATATTAAATATTATATTAAATAAATATATTAAATATATTTATGTATTTAAAAGTTAAAAAAAATTATTTAGGTGTACATACATTGACAAATTATATAAATGCAATAACATTAAATTATTAGAAATAAAAACATTCATATGGATTATTGGCAGATGAATGTCTGCCCCTTGAAGTAGAAGAGATGTTGCCATATGGATTATTGGTGAAGCCACGTGGGTTAAGATCATAAGCAGTTGCAGATGAATGCCTTCCTATTGAACTTGATGGCATGGTATATGGCGTTGGATCCGCCATTAATGATGTGAAATCATTACAGATAAGTTGTGTCGGGCTATCAACTTGATCAGTTTGATATGCAATGCCAAAGTGAGAGGAATATGAGAGACCACGAGTTACACGAACCTCAATAAAAGTGGCATACATTTCAATAAGAGATTGTGAACTCCCCATATGAGCATCAACCATCATAGAAACATCATCATCGTTTGAAAGCTGAAATGATGTATACGTGAGCGGAAAAAGTTCAGTAGGAAATCTGTATTGAAGTGAAGATAGTCTTCTCTGGCCTGCTACACGAATCTTTAACGAAATTTTTGTGATTATTAACCAGGAATATATTGCGTACAACCATACTGACGGAGCACGCGATCAACTGGATGCCACTCAATAATAGCATAACATATAAGAGGTATAACCGATATCCATACCTCTAATGACCCACTAAGGTGGGGTGGGATGCAAGCTTTCACTTCATCGCTCGTATAAGGTATCCACTGAAACTGAAATATAAATATACAATTCAAATAAATAAAATATTCTAATTATATCTAATATTTTAAATTAAAATATTAATAATTAAACAAATTTAAAAACATACCTCAAACCCAGCTTTCGTATCAATAAGTAAACGAATTTCCTCTAACCTAGTAGGTATACTTTTATGGTCCTTTCTTTTCATCGACCACCTATGAAATATAATATAAACTAAATATCACCCTATTTAATTGAAAATATTTAAATCAAAATTTAGTTCGAAAATTACCTCAACAATAAGGGGAATACGTATGGTTCATTCACGATCGGGCATAAGAAAGGCATGCGGAACCACGCCCATGATTGTAGAAGCAGAAGACATCCACCGATAGCAGTTTTCTTATAATTCGTCGCCCGACACATTTCTCTAAAGAGAAATGCCAAAACTGCAGCACCCCAACTATATCTTCCAGCTTCATCAAAATCGATCAGATGCCGCAACCACATACAATGCACCTGGTTGCGAGATTTGTCGGGCATCAATATTCCTCCAATTATTCGTAGAATATATGCCCGAGCACATGCCTTTGCTTGATCCTCTGAAGCATTTTCATTTAAAACCTCAAAATTAGCTTTCAACCAAGATAAAGCTATTCTACCTCCATTAAACTCTGGCAGAGCAGCTCCAAGATAATCAATGCACATTGATTGCCAATCACCATCCGCCATACCACACATCATATTTCCGTCGACGGGAAGCCCCAGATGCATAGAGACATCCTCCAATGTAATTGTTGCCTCTCCACATGGAAGGTGAAAAGTGTGTGTCTCGGGCCTCCACCTCTCAATCAGTGCAGAAATTAGGACAGGTTCGAGTTTGCAACCGCCTATAATTGTTGCAATATACCCGAACCCAGCAGAAGCCAAATATGGCAAAATACGTTCCGGTGTCGGTATACGTGGATTTTTAATAAAAGTTTCTAAAATACGATCAGCATCCTAAATAATATATATTATAAAAAGTAAAAATTAATATAAATTCATAATAACTTTAAAATAAAAATAAATTTAAATATTAACATTAATTATAAAAAATATTACCATATCGCTAAAATGTCTGGAGATATGATCAATATCCAATCGCAACAGCATTTCGTTTTCCATTATAACTGTAGACAAAACAATATAATTAGCAAAAAAATTAATAATTCTAAATAAATAATAATTATATAAATATTATTTTAATAAAAAAATAATATTTACATAAATATATTAATATAAAAAATAATAACTATTTAAAAAAAGACTAACATAAAAATAAATTTCTTACCACTAATAACAAATTTAAAACTCAAATAGTTGGAGAATTTGAGTTATATAAGAGAGGAGAAGATGATTTTGGTGTGAAGAATGAGTGAGGGTTGAGGGGGTTTATATAGGGGAGGAGGAGGGGTAGTTAGGAAAAACGGATGGGGGCATTTATGACATTTAATGGAAGGCGCGTCCCCGGGGATGCGCCTTCCACACGTGTCTGCTGATATGGCAAAGGCGCGTCCCCGGGGACGCGCCTTTCACACGTGGCATCCAACTCAACGAAAACACGGGTAAAGCGCGTCCCCGGGAACGCGCCTTTGCCAACTCAGCAGAAAGGGTGCTAGTTTTGAAAATATTGGTCGAACGGTGTTAGAAAAGTAAAATTAAAAACAAACGGTGTCAGTTATGTAATTTAGCCGAATAAAAATAAATTGGCAGTTGCATTAAATTGTCATTTCGGTTGCAGTTACATGAGGGCTTTTTTGTAATTTGATTCTCTCATATCCCACCCACCCATGGAACTAATGTTCAATTGAGTCGAATTAAATCAAATTTTTTTGAATTGATAAATTATATTTTACAATTTAAAATTGATTTGAATTTTTTTTAGTCCAGTTGAATTTTTTAATTTTTATTTTAAATTTAATTATAAATATTTATAATATTATGATATTATTTGATTTTAATTTAAATAATTTTTTTATAATTATATAATATATATATATATTATTTTTCATATATTATATACATATATAGTATAAATTTGAGACACTAGACTTAAACTTAAATTCAATTATTTGAGTTATATTTTACAATTTAATTTTTTTTTTTAAATTTTCGAATCAAATAAAAAAAATTTAATTTTTCAACTCAAATCAAATTTTACTCACTCCTACCGTCCTATCTTCTCTATATATATCCACCTGTCTTTTCCCAATTCCCACACCACAGTAAGCCTAAACCCACAAGAAATGGCAGCTAAGCAGACAGTGGCAATTATTGCTTTCACCTTCTTTGCCCTAACATTCTGTAGGGGCGCGACGGGACAGGCAGCGGCGCCCGAGCCGGCAGCTGTGGCCTTGGGGCCATCAGCGGAGGCACCGGCGTCGGATTGTTTCAATGCGTTATTGAACTTATCGGATTGCTTGACGTTCGTGGAGGCAGGGAGCAATCTGACGAAGCCGGACAAAGCGTGCTGCCCGGAGCTGGCGGGGCTTGTGGAGAGCAGTCCACAGTGTTTGTGCAAATTGTTGGATAATAAGACTGCTTCCGGGATCGGGATCAACATCGATATGAAAAAAGCTCTTGATCTTCCCACTGTTTGCCGTGTTTCCACTCCTCCTGTTAGTCTCTGCTCAGGTAAGTCCCTTCTCGTTTCTTTACCCTTTTTCTTCCTTTACCAAAACATCATCGATCGTGGTTCCATTTCGTATAAGCTTCATGTCCATTCTGGTTTTGATTTTCAGATCTGGTGCAAGTTTCTCGACTTAATTTTATCAGAAATTCTTTAAATTATGGTTCAAATTTCAAATAAAACTTTAAACGGGAGTATAATTTTTTAACGGGTAAAATACACAAATGGGACATAGTATTGATATATTAAATCTCTTATTTATTAAAAATTATAAAATGATCATTTCACTATATAACGTTACTTATTGAGTATTTCATCTATTAAAAATTACAAAATGATAATTTAATTATAGAATGTTAATTATCGAGTCACTCGACTATTAAAAGTTATAAAATAGTTATGTGTTTATTCATTATATTATAAACTCGTCATTTTCTGTTAAAAAATAATAGTATTCTGAGCTGAACGCTAATCTGCTGATTATAATAAGATAAAATTTGATTCTATAATCTCAAACGACTATCATATCACAATCATCATATTAACGTCTAGTTTAAAAAATTATAAAAATTTAATGAAAAATAACGAATTTAAAACATAATAAATAATCATATATCTATTTTATATTTTTTAGTAATCAGAGACTTAATTAAACAACAGTTTATAATTAGAAGATTATTTTATAATTTTTAATAGTCGATGAATTTAATAAAGTAATACTCTATAATCAAAAGATAATTTGTGTATTTTACCCTTTTTAAATTAAGTTCTTAAAACATTAAAATCTTTTTTTTTCATATTATCTAAACTTCTTAGACGTTAAATATTATTTCAAAAAATAAAATAAAGCATATTTTAGGTAAAGTTAGTTATATCAAATATTTCTAAACTATGATTTTCATTTTAAATTTATTATCAAACTTTTGAATATTTTAATGTCATCCTTTAATTATTACATTAATTTTAAATTAGTTTTTAAAATTTTAAACACAAAATGTATTTATAAAACTTAGCCTAATGGTTTTATTAATATAGATGTGATTAGCGTATACCATTAGTTTGAGTTAAAATTGGACGTTAAAAATTTTGAGATCAATTTGAAAAGGGGTTATAGATTGAGGATAAAATTAAGACATCTAAAAGTGTGAGGATTAATTTAAAATGATAATCATAATTTGTGATGAAATTATCATATTTAAAAGTTTAGAGACAAATTTAAAATAAAGATAAAGATTATAGTTTGTGGATATTTTATATAATTTACTCTTATATATAAATATATATCAAATTTCAAATAGATGTAAGGTTCATTAATAGTGTAAAAATGTTTATTGATTTAAGATTGTTGAATTAGTTTAAATTGATGACTGAATTTATTTAGTTTTCTATAAATTAATTTTTTAATTTTTATGCAATTAATTTTTCATTTTTAGTTTCAACAGCCAATTTCCCCCCAAATTTTTGTTTTATATAATGTATTCACAATGATTTAGTTGTAGTATTTTTTTAAATACGTTAAATTCATATTTATAATTTAATTTATATTTTAAATAGATTTTTAATTGAAATTGAAATTTAACACCTAAATCTAAATGGATGATATAATTGGTAGATGATTGATTGAAACTAAATTATTATGATGTGAGATTCAAGGTTTTTGGTTTGCCCCACCGAACATCACGTGCCCTGTCTTATGTTAATTATTTATTTTATTTTTTATTGGATTAAGTGGTAGAAAATATTTATTTAATCCTTGATTTTAGATTATTAGATTCGAATTAATCGATTAATAGATAAAAATCGGTAATTATATAAAAAAATATTTAATACTTATCGTTTTTTTGCACTGTTACAGTTATCAATGGCACCCCAGTAGGAGCTCCGGCAATTTCACCAGGTAACTTCAATATTTTCGTTGGTAAATTACATATTTAATCACCTACATAGTCACGTGGTTACGCTTTCATCATGTGGTTACTTTTTTCTTTCGCTCATATATAATGTTATGTTGTGATCTCATGTTGTTAAAAGAATTAATAATGATATTGATATGTCACTATAAGATAATATTATATTATTATTAAAAAAATTATTATATCAGTAATTTTATTTATTTTTAACTAAATAAGATTAAAATTAACTAAAATATAATTTTAAAAATAACTAATTGATGAAAATAAAATCATAAAAAATAAATAATTATTTTTAATGGCAAAACGTACTTTATTATTTAAATAATATTAATTATTTTGCATTCCTCAGGTGGAGGCAGCCCACCAAATGGAGTTTCTAAAGTGATTCCCTTGGCAATCGCTATTCCACTTTTACCCACACTTTTTCTCCTTTGATTTCATCTTCTTCACTCCATCGCTGTATTATTTTAAGGATGAAAAGATTTCCATATCTTTCCAGCTTAGAAATCACGCCATTGATTACCATTCCAAGGGAAGATGCCTTTGTTTATGTCAAGTTTGATAAATTCGTAAAAGTTTTCCAACTATTTTATTATTTATACTCTGGTCCTTCGATTTCTAAACCTTTGCTTTACGAGGTATGAATGTCCAATTTAATCTATAATTGGTCCTAAATATGTTATATTTGTCTATTAAATAAGTATGATACATTTGAATTAGTTACTAATTGATCTAAATTGAATAAGATCAGAGAACTTGTTGGTTGCTGTAATTATCACTTATAGAGGTTGTACATAAGAGACGAAGATTTTTTAATTGAAAATCGTCGATTGTTGAGAACGTCTTTGACAGTAGGTCATCGTCTTTTGCATACATCTTTTTTTCATGTATATGTCTACTTCCCTTACATGTAATTAAGGGTGAGCGTTCGATCAAGTCGAGTAAAAAAAATTCGAGTTATTTGAGTTGACGAGTCTTATTTTACAACTCGGAGTTGACTTGAAATTTTTTTCGAGTCGAGTCAAATTTTTGAGTTTCTATTTAAATTTAATTGTAAATATTTTCAATATTATGATATTATTTGGTTCTAATTTAAGTGATATTTTATAATCATATACAGTACATATATATTTTTTCATATTTTTTTCATATGTAATTTACATATACCATACAAAGTCGAGAGACTCGACTCAAACTTGAAAATCAATTTAATAATTATTAAAATTTTTGAGTTATTCGAGTTGTATTTTACAACTCGATTTGAACTTGAAATTTTTTTTCGAGTGAAGTCGAGTTTATGAAATTATAACTCGAAGTCAAATTTTGTATACCACTACACGTAGTTATCCCATGTAATCTTTACTAATAAAATGACATCCTTCCAACTGCCCCCATTAAATTTATTTATTTTAATTAATCAACCAATCACAATTTATTTATTTAATAGTTAGAATTAAATTAAGCAATCAGGATTTAATTTTTATAGTAACATGACTTCTATAGAGTATTTTTATTTTTCCTAAACAATATATATTGCCACAAAATACAAAGAGAACATATTCATCTTCTCCCTTTTTGTTTCATTTCAAATTTCACGACTATTAATTTAGTTAGCTTTTTTAAAATTATGTGGCCTCTATCCACTAAGCCTTCGACTCAAGCTTCTGAGTACAAAAAATTTTGCTCGTTAGTATATTTATTGTTATACCATTTACGGTGCGTGTTTTACCGTGCTATAATTGTTTTAATTTTGTTTAATAATTTTTTTATTGAATCTAGAATAATTAAATTATGATTAATATCGTGGTGATGTATCTGAATCTATGTATGTCTATGTTTGTGTTCCGTATTCTGAACTGTATATTGATTGGTTATCAAATATGTTTCTGAATTACTTGTGAGATGTCCAAACAACGTGTATTATGTATTGGTGATTGTATGTAATTATACATCCTTCTAAAGAGTACTTTGATTTATGTATCACATGCCTTGAGTTGTCAATGTAATCGGTATAAACATGTCACACTTGTCTGGTTTCAAGGATAGGGATGCCAATGAGGAAGGTTAGTGGTTCACCTCTTATGTTTTAGCAAATTAATGCTTTTGCCGGTGTAATCATTATACGGTTTACAAAAAATATTTTTCTTAATTTCAACAGTCACCACTTCTGTTTATAGGATTTATCACATTTTTTTGACGTTAAGTTGATTACGATTTATGGAAACTCATTTTGTGAAGCTTAGTAAATGGTTGTGCAGTTAGGAACTTATTAGCTCGTGTTTGTATTTTGGTTTATCGATATTTTCAAATTAGTTGTGTATGCTTATTTGATTATCTGAATACTTTGTTTATCCGTACATTTTGATCGCATTGAGCTTTATAGCTCACCTCTTGTATTTCTCCCTTTTAGATATTTCAGGATATTAGGATTGGATCAACATTTCGAGGATTAAAGTCTCAAATTTAAATTATTTTTATTAAATTATTTTATAATAAAGTGATAATAATTGTATAATTATTTGAAAAATATGATTTTATACATATTAAAAAATTTAATTTATTTCTGGATCACTTCGATGATTTATATGACCTTTAAGATTTGGCCGTAACATTTAGGCCATGTCTAGGGGGTTACATTTAGTGATATCAGAGTCAGGTTCAACCCTCAAACTATGGACTCCACTAGAATCGTATGATTTAAAAATGATAAATAAAAATAATTTGTAAATCTGATTTGAAAATTGATAAAAGTGGATTTTTTTAAATAGTTTTATGCCACAAATATATATTTTTTCTAAAATTGACAGGTTCCTAGATTTCAATGTCGATTCTAACACCAGTTATTTTTCTTTTCTGTGTCTGGGTAGTGCTTTCTTGTTAACTGTGTGATATGAATCTATTGATAAGTCAATAAAAATTTCAATGGCAAAATTTCATTATAGAGGGGAGAGTTCTCACTCCCTAATTTTTCATCGAATCAAAAACTCTAAAATTGGAAGATTTATCCAAAATCGAGGCTAATATTTTAGTCTTGATAATTTAAATTTTATTCATTTTAATTTCGAATTTGTGACTAAATTGAAAAAAATATTAATTTTGGAAATATTTTCTAAGCATATTTTTTTGAGGTATTTTCATAAACTTCAGAGACTTTTCATATGATTAACCCACAAGTGAATTCGGAATTTAATTCTGCTTAACTCTACTCATTTTTCTTTTTTTTTTAAAAATGTTTATTTTATATTAGCTATTATATTATCTATTTATTTTAATTCTAAAATATATTCCGTAAACTATTTATTTTAGAATTGATCTTCAAACATGATTTTTATCGCTATCTCTATTTTAATTAAATTTGATCTTATTAATCTATAAAGTGGTTTTATTTTTCCTAAACCCTATATATTATTAATCTATTATATTATTGTTTCGTTTTAAATTCTACGACTAATAATTTAGTTAGTCTTTAAAAAAAAATCGTGTGGTCTCTCTCCGCTAAGCCTTCTACTAAAGATTCCAATCACAAAATTTTTTGCTCGTTAGTATATTTATTGTTATACGATTTAAGGTGCGTGTCTTACCGTGCTACAACCATTTCAATTATGTTTAATAACTTTTCTGTTGAATCTTGAATAATTGAATTATAATCGATGTCGTGATGATGTATGTCTATGTATGTATTATGTGATTCGTATTCTGAACTGCGTATTGATTGGTTATCAAATATGTTTTTGAATTACATGTGTGATGTCTAAACAATGTGTATTATGTATTGTGACTATCTATAATTATATATTCAACAAAGTAACACGTTATAGTCGGGGGATCATTTTGTAACTTTTAATAGTTAAGGGATTCAACAAAGCAACGTACTATAGTCGAAAGATCATTTGTGTTGTTTATCTAGTTAAAAATATTCTGAATAATTATTATATTATAATCATCTTAAACTATTGAGAAGTAAAATTGTCAATCTTTTGGGCGGGTCAATTTCGAATCATGTTTAAAAGGTTTTTTTGGCCCAAAACCATATTTCGGTAAATTATTTAGCCCAATAGGGAACAACAGTTTTTATTTTGCAATCTATGACAAATGATACAGTACAGAGGGAACTCGTCACATTGAGGTGACTAGTTCGGTTGGAATTATTATTTTATTGGTCCCAGTTTAGTGAATCCCATATGGGCTATTATTTTAATTTATTTAACAGGACTCATCACGTTACCTTAATAAATTATTTTTTTAAAAATAATTATTTAAATTAAATAAAAATATTTAAAAAATGATAGAACTTATCACCTCGACGTGACGAGTTCATTTAAAATCAAATAAACTAGTCGTTGGGCAAGTGGCAAGAACAAAGATCAATTGCCAACAGTCACCATAGAACATTTAAACAAATATATTAATTAAAAAAGGTAAATTAATAATTTTATTGCAAAAAATAATAAAATAGAGTTTACAAACTAATACATACATAATAAAATTTATTTATATTTTCATAGTTCTTGACGATACTGAGGAGTGGTCAAATGATAATGGCGTGGGGCTCGTCGAATACTTAGAGGTCATCTTCCTTGGTCGTCTTTGTCTACTTTTTATTTGGTTGTTGAATAGGAGGTGTATTGAACACACTCTGAGATCCACTTTCGAAATACGGTGATGGGATACTTATGGTATTTAACGCCATCATTGTCGTAACTGAATCGACTTGGCTACCTTGTTGACCATATTTGATATGATCCCATTCACCCTCACTCATATGTTCTATTGAAGATGCTTGAGTGCTTTGCATTGCATCCTACGAACCTCCAACCAAAGTCGATTGAGTCTCGATTGAAGTATGATATGGAAGATAAAAACAAAAACTAGCTTGAAATGCAAAATAATCTAGAGATGCAGAAGTAGAAGAAGAAGATGATTATGATTTCTTCAACTTTGCGAATTTGGCCCTGTGTTGTTCCTATTCTCCCATCTCTTCTAGTGTCTTAAGATATGATTTCCCATTTGTTTCATAATTTCGGAGATAAGGAGAAAGGTTGAAATCTAGGTTGATAGGTGTAATCTCGCAATGCATGAGGACCGATAACTGACAATGATTCCATTACTTAATGTAGACAACGTGCTTCCTCGGCCAATTTTCGATATGTTTCCCACGCATATCTATTCCTTAGAGCGCATCCATATCAAATATTTGCGTAGCAATCAGTTGATGAGATGCAAACTGTCGCAACACTCTATCAACGGTGTGTATCTCAATAATCACAAAGTGTAATAAAGGCAATACGGCACACCATAACTCTGATCCATCAAAAAATATCTATGGCAGTAATTGATAGATCTCTTCGTCACAATAAGAAAACCAAGAAAACTGTAAACATTAATTATTAAAGTTAATATATATAAAGTTAAACAACTTCAAAAAAATAATAAAATAAGCAGTTGAGTATTTATCGCATGTCGACCTGCGATATCGATCCTCATTCGTATATCTTTTTTTGTAGCGTCCGACAACTTGGTCTCGATTATTTTATGGCACCATCTAAAAATAATAAAAATAAAAAATGATTAAAAACAAATAAAATAAAATTAAAGAAATTAGTTAAAAAATTACCATGCAACAAGAAGAAACTCAACTGGGGTGGTGTAATTGGCGAAAAAATGGGAACCACTACCAAGCCCAAGACAGTAGCAATAATAGATAGGCCGCTACATCGGTTTTTTGACCCCTCTCGACGATTGCAACCTTGCTAAGCTCCATATACAAAAAGGTCAAAATTGTCAAGCCCCAACTAGTATTAGGGCACTCATTAAAATTATTTAATATAGATAGATATTGAGTGTACGTCAAATTACCGGATTTACCTGGTAATAATATCCCTCCAATCAGTTGGAAAATATATGCTCAGGATGTAAAAATAACCTCCTCTGTAGGGTCGTCCGTCACTTGAAATTCAAACTCCAACCACGTGATCCGTATCCGATACCCTTAAGACATCGGGGGGTGGCATCCTTCACAAAACTTTATGAAGAATATCGATAAGGTTGTAATCGTTTTGTCTTACGAAGACGACACCTGTAACACCCCAACCCATATCCGACCCGGATACGAATCCGAGGTGTCACATTGACCTTTTAAAACATGTACTTGTATAAAATAGTGAGTAATTTAAAACTTTTATAATATATGAATGACTAATTTACATAAAAGACATTTTAATTATTACAAAACCAATCAGAGCGTGTATATTTCACTTATTTATTTACATATAACTATTCAAAACATTTATAAAACGGTTCATAGCTTAAACAATACATTCTTTTGAAAACATGCAAACTAGAACTTTATATACTAAAATACATATTATTCACCTCTTTTCTGATCTGACCTTTAGTAAGGAGAACTGACATGTCTTGCTCCACATTGCTCTTTACTCTTCTCGAAACCTACGTGTAAATCACTTACACACTAAGTCAAAGACTTAGTGAGGCAATAAACATATAAAGTAAACGGTAACTAATAATCATACATAAACAATTACTACTATCATTTCATACAACTCATACTTTTACAGGTAACAAATATATATATATATATATACATATATGTCATTATCATTCATATCTCTTATCTCATGTTCCTATGATCTCTTATGTCCATATCATATATCTTATAGACTTATTATTATATCATCATTTCAATCAATTATACTCATTCACATATACCTTAACCTGTACTCATGTATATCATATAACATATACCATATATACTATCATAAAACACGTACACCCAGGCAACTATAATATCATCTTCATTTTTATTAATATTATTTATATAATAGTCCATGATATACATGTGAGAACTAAAGATATGCGAGTACATAGAGGTTGTGCACTAATGCTGTCACCACATCTCATATAATTGCACCGAAGTGCCACATATAATTGCACCGGAGTGCCGCATAGAATTGCACCGTAGTGCCATATAATAATGTCCATAAGGACCACATATCATTCCTTAAGAATCATATACATATGACAAGGATCAAGTATGTGTCTCACCAGACTTCACACATATTCCAAAGAATACATATATATCCCGAAGGACAACATATCATTCCTTAAGAATCATACACATATGCCAAGGATCAAGTATGTGTCTCACCAGACTTCACACATGTTCCAAAGAATACATATATGTCCTGAAGGACCACATAGACCCTCGACTCTTGGCATGCCAACTATACCCCTAGCTCTCATTACACATAACATGGGCATTATCTTTTATATCCTTTTACATATTCATGTAACCATATCATATATTCATATAAGCTCATGGTTTCATTCACATATACATGTAATCGCGTAGTTCATGTAAATTCTCATATGAGTTCATATTCATATAAACATATGATTCACCTTCACGTATCACATATACTTTCTCTTTCATATAGCTCATAACATTTCTCATGTGTTCATATGATATGTAGATCATTGTCATCTCATCATGTTATCACATAAACATATAATCTTACAATACATACAAAAACACCTCAATACATATATTTACATATACCTATCATTTCATTATCCTTATTATTATTCTTATCATCACCATTAATCCCTTTTACTTACCATATTCATATCAATAACACATATACTCATGCACACATATAAATCATAATAAATACATACTTCTATGAATTCATGTTTTTCACTATTGGAAATAGACTTATCGCAAGTCTTATTTTCCATTGAACCTCATATATTAAAGAATGTGCACTCACCTTAGCCTTATTTGCTTTAAATCAATCTTAATCCTTAGATTGTTCCGGAACAAGCTTTATTCTATATCTACATCATAATAATACATTGATACATATCAGTATAATAATTGATATCTTCTAAATTGCCACTTCTTAGGCTAAAAGAAAAGCCCATTTCATCTTTTAATGAAGGTATGCATCGATGCACTGCACAGTGTATCGATGTATTCCCTACCGATGAATCGATGCACTACTTGTGCATCGGTGCACAAAATACATTCGATGTTTGTTTATTACTGGGATGCATCGATGCATGCCTTATGCATCGATGCACCAATTGCATTTGATGTTTTTATTTTAAAAGAGTGCATCGATGCACTACCTGTGCATCGATACACCTTCAAACAATTTCTGGGTTTTAACCTTGATGCATTGGTGCACTATGAATATGCATCGATGCACTCTGCCCAGAATCCTCTTTTTGAACCCGAAAATTCATTCTTTTTGGATTAAATCCTTCATATTTCAACCCCTTTCATATTCCTAACTTACATATATATACTTAAACTCATTAATATTCATTTATCTCATCTTTAACCTTAATATCCTCTCATCTTTAGGAACTTCAAGAATCATACCCTATTTTCCACATGTTTCAAATCCAATTCTAACACTTAATACTTCTTAATTAAGCTGATGACAAGTCAAATTTAACTTCAAGTTCAACTTATCAACTCCATTCTGGAAATTCACTCAAGAACTCCAAATCTTTAATCTTCTCTAACTCATTTATCTTTTGATTTTAAGATAACTTAAGCTTTCCTTAAGCTTAAGTATCACCTAAGAATCATAACCCAACTTTTAATTCAATAAATAACCAACTAATTAAGAAACTCACCTTTGAGCTAGAGCTTCACGCACAAAGAAGAAAGGAGGAGAAGAGAATTCTGGAAACATTGTTTTTGGTTTCCTACACTCCCATGTGTAAAAATATATATCCCCACTATCACATTTTTAATTCCTTAAATGATCAAATAACCATCTTACCCTTTAGTTCCTTTAATAATTATTAACAACTTTTAGGAAATACTTCTAAATAAATCACTGAACTAATCTATTCTTCTACTTTAGTCACCAAATTCTGAAACTTTACAATTTGGTCACTAACACATAGTTTGGGATGTTACAAATCTCCCCTCCTTTTAAAAATTCATCCTCGAATTTTCACTGCACATCTTGAGAAGAACATATCTTCTAACGTTCTCATGATGCTTTTTGAACTTAATCTTTTGTATCATCATTAATAACTTGGTTCTTATCATTTCAATTATTCGACTACCTTTTTACTTTATATCTCCTATCATGTCACTTATCAGATAGACAATAACATTAATTCTTATTACTTAAACTCATAAATCAATCAAATTCCTTGTCAATCTTCAATTGTCTTGCAAGAATAACCAAACTTTTATTTCATCCTTACTTGACTGACTCCAAAACTTCCTTAATACATATAAATCTTTCTTCATTTCTCTGACTACTTCCACTTGACCAAGAAACATAACCTTAAATATCCATATAACTGATTAAACATACACTTTGCATAACTAAACAATTTCTCATATCACCTGACATACCTTTCTTACTTCTAGTTAAACTTATAATCTATATCTCAACATAACCTTTATCACATCTGATTCTTTAAACTTCATCATTTCATTTCCTTCATAAATCAAAATCTTCTTATACACCAATCATATCTTTCTTTCATGTTCACATACTCTTTTCCTATCACTTAAACTCATCTCTGATTACCAATCTTTATAACTTTACTAATCAACTTCACTTATACAGAACCTCATTCTTATCGTATCTTGCTTGAATTTTCTTCCATCAAAACTTTCTTTAAAACACATAAATATTTATCTCCTTGCCTATATCATATCTATATGATCAACATACACACCCACATCCAGATTCATATCTCATTTGATTAACTTACTTTATCTTTCCTTCAAAGCTTATAACTCTAACATCCATGCCATTACAGCTAATTAGTAACAACTTTTCAATCTAGGGCGTAAGCCCTGATCAAATTAATCATAAACATCATTTTAGTTGAAATCAACCCAGTGTAATTCACTTATCGAATCCATACTCTCATTCATATACAGTATTATGCCTTGTCTCATTTATTACTTTTCATTTCAATGATTAAAATACATAACCATATCTCAATCCACACCATACATAATTAGCTTACCCTGAAATCATCTTCTAATCATTTAACTTTAATACACTACTATCTTATAACTCTGTTAGTTAACATCGGTTCTTCCAATCTAAAACATAAACCTTCATCGAACAATTCATATACATTCTTTGCAGTCGGAATTATTTCAACAATAGTTTACTCAACTAATCAAATAAACATTCAATCTCATACACCATATCACTTCCATTATTCAAGCTTAACATTCTAACTTCCTTTATTTATAAACTGATCATTGATGTACCCATACTTAAACTCTTCTTATCAATCCTTAGTTTTACTCAAACATTTGAATCCTCACTTCCTTCACTCTATCACTTTACTATAATCACAGTATACAATTGTATCCAGATTCGCTTTATATTTGGTTATCATAACCTACCATATCTTGAAATCTTGTAATTCTAATACATTCCATCCTATAATCTTGTTAGCCAACACTAACTCTTTCCATCTTAAATAAAAAAAACAGTATCTACCTCACTTGATACTTTTAAAATACTTCTTATCCTTCACATTATTTAATCTCGAGCAAAACACTTAATCCATTCCTCCACTTTCATATCTTACTTCACATCTATCTTTAACTTCTCATTTAATTATCTATAACCAAACTCTATTACTTAAGTAAGTCTGACTTTCATACAATTTGATCTTTTAACTTGAAATACAACTGATTTCAACTAAGTCGATAACCAATTTTTTTTTTAAAAAACCTTTCAACACTTATAACACTATTTTAATCTAGGCACTAGCCCTCTACATATCACTTGCAAACATCATTTTCATTCAAATTAGTTTCACAAACTTTCACTCTACTTATCAAACTATACTCTTGTTCATACACATTATAATTTCCCTCTGCCTCAAATTCATAAACTCTGACTTCATATATATATATATATATCATACTCTTGTCACTGATGCACTTATTCTGAACTCTCCTACAAATTCTCACTGCATCATTTGATCTTTTGACATTCTCATGGTGACCACCATACTCTAACTTACCAAAGTAGTAACGAAACTACTCAATTTAATTTCTCCTCTTGGGAGAAATGAAAACCTTCTATCATATCATATAACCATATGTTTGTAACAACAGAACCTTCCTCAAATCCATCCTTGAACTCGGGTGCTCTTAACTTTTTCAACTAATTCAATACATTCATTCTATAAGTTAAAGAAGTATAAATTGAAAATTCATCAGAATATTCTTCAACATGGTGAAGACATTCCCTAAGTTTATACAGGCACTTCCTGAGGTTTTTCGCTCTTCTCCCTGCCTGGCCAGGGCAGGTGAATGCTATTACCTTCAGTCTATTGCCTTGTGCTTCACTTTGGAAGCTCTCATGATCATACATCTAATATAACATAACATTTTAATTATATTAGCAAGACAATACACTCCTTACACTATCAGATCAGAAATTATTCACTCTATGTTGGCATGTATACTTTTTAAAACACTTTTTACTTCGATTTATGCCTAGAATCGGCTAAACTGTAGCTCTGATACCATTAAATGTAACACTCCAACCCATATCCGACCCGGATACAAATCCGAGGTGTCACATTGACCTTTTAAAACATGTACTTGTATAAAATAGTGAGTAATTTAAAACTTTTATAACATATAAATGACTAATTTACATAAAAGACATTTTCATTATTACAAAACCAATCAGAGCGTGTATATTTCACTTATTTATTTACATATAACTATTCAAAACATTTATAAAACTGTTCATAGCTTAAATAATACATTCTTTTGAAAACATGTCAACTAGAACTTTATATACTAAAATACATATTATTCACCTCTTTTCTGATCTGACCTTTAGTAAGGAGAACTGACATGTCTTGCTCCACATTGCTCTTTACTCTTCTCGGAACCTACGTATAAATCACTTACACGCTAAGTCAAATACTTAGTGAGGCAATAAACATATAAAGTAAACGGTAAGTAATAATCATACATAAACAATTACTAATATCATTTCATACAACTCATACTTTTACATGTAACAAATATATATATATACATACATACATATATGTCATTATCATTCATATCTCTTATCTCATGTTCCTATGATCTCTTATGTCCATATCATATATCTTATAGACTTATTATTATATCATCATTTCAATCAATTATACTCATTCACATATACCTTAACCTGTACTCATGTATATCATATAACATATACCATATATACTATCATAAAACACGTACACCCAGGCAAATATAATATCATCTTCATTTTTATTAATATTATTTATATAATAGCCCATGATATACATGTGAGAACTAAAGATATGCGAGTACATAGAGGTTGTGCACTAATGCTGTCACCACAGCTCATATAATTGCACCGAAGTGCCACATATAATTGCACCGGAGTGCCGCGTAGAATTGCACCATAGTGCCATATAATAATGTCCATAAGGACCACATATCATTCCTTAAGAATCATATACATATGCCAAGGATCAAATATGTGTCTCACCAGACTTCACACATGTTCCAAAGAATACATATATGTCCCGAAGGACCACATATCATTCCTTAAGAATCATATACATATGCCAAGGATCAAGTATGTGTCTCACCAGACTTCACACATGTTCCAAAGAATACATATATGTCCCGAAGGACCACATAGACCCTCGACTCTTGGCATGCCAACTATACCCCTAGCTCTCATTACACATAACATGGGATTATCTTTTATATCCTTTTACATATTCATGTAACCATATCATATATTTATATAAGCTCATGGTTTCATTCACATATACATGTAATCGCGTAGTTCATGTAAATTCTCATATGATTCACCTTCACGTATCACATATACTTTCTCTTTCATATAGCTCATAACATTTCTCATGTGTTCATATGATATGTAGATCATTGTCATCTCATCATGTTATCACATAAACATATAATCTTACAATACATACAAAAACACCTCAATACATATATTTACATATACCTATCATTTCATTATCCTTATTATTATTCTTATCATCACCATTAATCCCTTTTACTTACCATATTCATATCAATAACACATATACTCATGCACACATATAAATCATAATAAATACATACTTCTATGAATTCATATTTTTCACTATTGGAAATAGACTTATCGCAAGTCTTATTTTCCATTGAACCTCATATATTAAAGAATGTGCACTCACCTTAGCCTTATTTGCTTTAAATCAATCTTAATCATTAGATTGTTCCGGAACAAGCTTCATTCTATATCTACATCATAATAATACATTGATACATATCAATATACTAATTGATATCTTCTAAATTGTCACTTCTTAGGCTAAAAGAAAAGCCCATTTCATCTTTTAATGAAGGTATGCATCGATGCACTGCACAGTGTATCGATGTATTCCCTACCGATGAATCGATGCACTACTTGTGCATCTGTGCACAAAATACATTCGATGTTTGTTTATTACTGGGATGCATCGATGCATGCCTTATGCATCGATGCACCAATTGCATTCGATGTTTTTATTTTAAAAGAGTGCATCGATGCACTACCTGTGCATCGATACACCTTCAAATAATTTCTGGGTTTTAACCTTGATGCATCGGTGCACTATGAATATGCATCGATGCACTCTGCCAGAATCCTCTTTTTGAACCCAAAAATTCATTCTTTTTGGATTAAATCCTTCATATTTTAACCCTTTTCATATTCCTAACTTACATATACATACTTAAACTCATTAATATTCATTTATCTCATCTTTAACCTAATATCCTCTCCTCTTTAGGAACTTCAAGAATCATACCTTATTTTCCACATGTTTCAAATCCAATTCTAACACTTAATACTTCTTAATTAAGTTGATGACAAGTCAAATTTAACTTCAAGTTCAACTTATCAACTCCATTCCAGAAATTCACTCAAGAACTCCAAATCTTAATCTTCCCTAACTCATTTATCTTAAGCTTAAGTATCACCTAAGAATCATAACCCAACTTTTAATTCAACAAATAACCAACTAATTAAGAAACTCACCTTTGAGCTAGAGCTTCACGCACAAAGAAGAAATGAGGAGAAGAGAATTCTGGAAACATTGTTTTTGGTTTCCTACACTCCCACGTGTAAAAATATATATCCCCACTATCACATTTTTAATTCCTTAAATGATCAAATGACAATTTTACCCTTTAGTTCCTTTAATAATTACTAACAACTTTTAGGAAATACTTCCAAATAAATCACTAAACTAATCCATTCTTCTACTTTAGTCACCAAATTCTAAAACTTTACAATTTGGTCACTAACCCATAGTTTGGGATGTTACAACACCATTCACGGGAACACCTAGTTGGTAAGTGACATCTTCCAAAGTAATCGCGCTTCACCACTCAAAAAATGGAAAGTGTGCATCTCAGGCCTCCTACGTTCAATCAAACCCGAAATCTACATCAGGTTCACCTTAAAACCACACTGGAATGTGGTTGGATACAAATCGGATTGCTGAAGATATATAATCATCTACTGATGTGGATCTCTTGATGTTATTTCGCGTTGACAAATGCCCTGTTTTTAGATAATTTTGTGAACCGAGAAATTTCGGGTTGGATAAATTTTTTAGATAATTACCCCATTTTTTATTTCGGGTCGGCAGGTCAGAATTCTATATTTGGGGCAAAAAAACCTGTTTAAAACCAGCGTTTGTATCAGGGCCCAATAATTTAAAAGAAGCCCAATTTAGAATATAATATTTGAACCTGAAACTCATTAAATCCAGTCTTTAAAAAAAAAAAATAAAAAAAAAATCTGCTAATAGTTGTCTCTCCCTGTTGTTCGATTCTGTGGGTTGATCTTGGTGTTTCAGTTTTCAGTCGTCTCTTCTTCACTCTGCCTGCATCTTTCTCTTTCGCTCTTCAGCTTTTCCCCTTCGATTTACTCTTATCTTTCTTTAACTACCATATAAACAATACTGTAAAACCTCAATTTCCGGGTTTTCCGCAATCGACATTAATTCGGTTTTTTTTTTTTGCAAATTGTTCTCCTTATTAATCGAAGATGGCGAGCGGTCATGTGACTAAGCGAGCTAAGTATAAGACCACTATCAAGGATCCTGGAACTCCCGGTACTCTTAGAATGGTACTCATTTTATTTTTATTGAATTTATTTTTTTGGATTTCTATTTGATCAATGTCGAAGAAGAATAATGAACTGATGTTTGCAATTCATGTTTTTTTTATGAAATTTGAAGTTTTAAGCGCATTTTATTTATTGATTGATGTTTTTATTATTATTGTTGATGTTATAGGAAACAAGTTTAAGTTTGTGATGGATTTTATTGTATTAGTATATATTTTTACTGTAATGTTTTAATGATTTGATTCAGAGAGATAATGATCTAAGTAACTTTGCTTTGTACAGACGTTAGAGAAAATTTTATTTGTACCTCATAACCCTAAATCAGCCGTGAAGCTTGATGTCGAATTTCAATACATCAAAGGTATATTGCAGTGTGTGATTCGTTATGTACATTTGTTAGCTAGCATACTTTATAAAAACTGCTGCTTAAATGATGAATTTCGCAGGTCAAAAGCATACAAAGGAGGGGTCGAACAAGCCACCGTGGCTTAACCTTACTAACAATCAGGTATCATCATTTACGTTATTGAATGTATGCTTTTTCATAGGGATGGATAATCATGGCTATGGTTTTTGATATTTTTTGTTATTTATTCAGATTGAATCCAAATGTTTTCTTGTGTGATGGATCGATGATATGTTAAAGTTTTCTTTACATGTTCTCAGAATGGGAGTTTCATCTTTGAGTTTGAAAATTATTCAGATCTCCAAGATTGTCGAGATTTTGTGGGTAAGTTACAGGTTCAAGTTGAATGAGTTTAGGAATGGTATGGTTCTAGGATTTTATTAAGGATTTACTTTTGTGTTTCTCCTTGTTCTGCGCTGTTTTCATGTTTGTTTTCTAACATCTTTTTTTTTCTTCTTCTCGTTTTCGTTAAATTGTATAAGAAAACCTTTGGCTTCTCTATCTATCCTTGTTGACATGCATAACTAATCGATGGTATTAACTTGTTCTTGCTTTAGGTTTTAGGCAATTAAAAAATCTTTTTTTTTACAATGTTACAATTCTGTTTAATTTCTATAATTAGCTTTATCAGCCTGAGATGTATTTGTATGCATGCTTACTTATGAAGTATTCTTTGATCCTAAATCAAATCTTAAAAGATCCCCCTTTTCTTTTCTCTTTTAAGTTTACTCATCTATGAATTGCATGCTACACTGCATTAATTGATGTTTTAGTACACTTGTTTCAAGAAGTGATTTTTGCTTCTCATGAATAGGGAAAGTTCTTGCAAAGGGTGGAGAAGTTTCTGAAAAGCCTTCTGTTGCATATCCTGATGAACAACTCAGTGCCGCTGAAATGGAGCTACGTATTAAGTTATTACAGGAAGATAGGTAAATTTACCTTTTGGTGTCATGCCAATTTATATTGTGAAAGCCAATTGTGTTGGGGTGAGGGTTTCAAGCTGCTTACTTCAATATATATATATATATATATTAGAAATAATTTGAAGGTGGGAAGGAAAATAGGAGAGAAAAATGCTGCAAGGTGAAGTTATTAAGATAATGGTGGTTTAGAGGAATAAGTTTATGCTTGAAAGGGTTTCAGATAGATACAGAAACTTTTAGTCAGGCTGTGGTTTGTAAAGATGTAAAACTCATGTCGGCATTAGTTAATCATAACTTCTTGAGGGAGTTAAAACAAACGACAAGGTGTTGACAGCAAGTTTGCTCTGAAATAACCTCCTTGTGAGAGATATTTCATATCTTTGTGGGTATGAACATTTCAGCAACAAAATTTTTCCTTAGTGCTTATGCACAATCCGTGGGATGTAATATATGTAAGTTCGAAATGGGCAAAGGGTGTTGTACATTATATCTATTTTATAGGTATATATACATCTTTCAAGTCAAATAGGATAAATAAGGTAATGAGAATTGGAGCCGAGTTGCTACAACCATTTAAGCATTCTGGGCAGAATTGCACGTAAAATAAAACTCTTCACTGGATGTATGCCCTAAATGTTTTCTTATTTTATGCAATTGGCTCTTCTTTTGCTTGTTTTCACATTGTTTAATTTGAGGCTGATCTTGTGATTGTTCATGAATATGACCAATTATTTGGAAGCCCCATAACCTACATTTCTAAAGACACGTATGATGGACTTGGAAGTCCTATATAAAGCTTTCTGATAGGGTGTTTTGATTTGTAAATGATCACATATTTTGTGCTGCCATAAATTCTGTAACTGCTTGAACTAAATGCATAATAAATCTTATCATTTACATCTTGCACATTAAGCTTGAAAGCCACTGCTGCTGCTTGGCTGGATTCTTTGCTACTGTATGGAACTTCCTGAGTTGATAAGAACATATTAAATTAACATTTCTTCTTCTCAGTGAACTGCAGAAACTTCACAAGCAATTTGTGCTTAGTGGTGTCCTCACAGAAGCTGAGTTTTGGGCAACACGGAAGGTTAACTGCACATTTAGACATTCGTTTTCTCCAGTACATACTGTTATATTGGAATAAATATTAAAATCTTCCTCTGCATCAATTGCAGAAGTTACTGGATAGAGAGGCCAGTAAAAAGACAAAACAGAGGCTGGGTTTTAAAAGTGCGATGATTTCTGACATCAAGCCATCAGCTGATGGTCGGGTACAACTTTTCTCTCTCTTGCACTCTCACTTACATTTTTATACTGCTTACATCTTTCGCCATCCCATGTGACCATGTCTCACAAGATTGGTTACCATTCATTAGTTTATTTAATGCAATTATCCAAGTTGTGTTTAAGAGGTTTAGATGATCTTTGTTCTGTTATTATGCAGACAAACAAAGTCACATTTAATTTAACCCCAGAGATCATTCTTCAAGTATGGTATCTTTTTCTTTTTCCTTTCTTTCATTATATTTAGTCAAACACCCATTTTAACTTATCCTGTTCCATAGATTTTGCTTCTACCATATATGCAAATATGAAGGATTAGTTTAAGCATTGGTCTTTCGCTGTCAGACTTGGTATAACTGATGCTTGATGATTTGTGACAGATTTTTGCCGAGAAGCCAGCTGTTCATCGTGCATTCTTAAGTTATGTTCCTAACAAGGTACCTGCAGCATCGAAACAATATTTTTCTTCTAGCAGTCAGCCTGTCGAGTAATGGTTTATTCTGCATGTTTTCTGTATATCTTCTTGTGTTTTTTTTTTCTCTTTTTGGATTATAGATGTCAGAAAGGAATTTCTGGACCAAATATTTTAGAGCAGAATACCTACATAGTACGAAAAACAGTATTGCTGCTGCAGCCGAGGCTGCTGAAGATGAGGAGCTTGCTGTTTTTCTAAAGCAGGATGACATATTGGCAAGTGAAGCGCGGAGGAAGGTGCACTTTTTTCGAAATTTAGATTTTTCTTATATTCTGAATGTTCTTAAATTGTAATAATCCTTGATGTTGACAAGTGGGAAGGACAGAAAGAACATGGAAAGAAAGTGAGAAAATCAGAAATAGATAGACGTAATTAGAGAGAAACAGAAGAGATTGAAGGAGAAACAGATAAACTTAAGAGAATCAGACAGAACTTGTAGTGGGAAATCTGAATATCTCAATATTCAATACCCAAACCCTAGATCTGGTAACATTGGATACGATATGAGCACGTTAGTAAAAGTAACTAAAACTCAACATCAAACGACTATTTAAAACTCATTTGAATATAGGAAACTTTAAACTTGACTATGAAATTGAAATATTACACGAACATGCCGCAGATACATGGATGTCTTCGTCTGCTAAACCCAGTCGAAGCTAAAATAACATAGGTATTTATAATTAATACGGATTATAACCTCAAAATAACCTTGAATAGCCTTGATTGTCATAAGCATTACAGTCAAAGTCATAAAATACCTGGTAAACTTAATCTCGTAACTGGGATATCTTCATTCTCCATTGATTCTACATTCTTTCCTGTGAATAATACTATAAATGATGATGATCTTTACCCTTCTGTATAATATGTTCCTTGCAGATCCGTCGGGTTGACCCAACTCTGGACATGGAGGCTGACGAGGGTGATGATTATACACATCTTCCTGTATGTTTGATACCATTACTTAAGGGAATTAAATTAGTAACTGCTTTTTGGAGGTTTGCTTTTTGATAATTTGAAGATAAAAGTGAACTTTTTGGATTCAATTATTAGGTTTCACCGCTGGCTCATGTATATTTTTGTTCAAGGTTTGTAATGGATGAGTTTTACAGTCTCAACATTAGGCAAAATGTCTAATCATCTGTTTCTGTTTCTTAATCTGCAGGATCATGGACTCTTTCGCGATGGTAATAAGGAAATGGCAGAATCACAAAATGAGCTATACAAAAGAACTCTATCCCAGGATATTAACCGGCATGCTGCAGTTGTTCTCGAGGGAAGAACTGTAGGTAAAGGCTATCCCTTGAATTTAAGCTATCTACCACCAGAGAATTTATTTAATTTTCTTTTCTTCTTGCATATATATAATTATATGTATTGTTTTGTAATGTGCTTTTTTTTCCCTCCTTTTCTTATTGCATGAATATATATATATATATATTCATATTCATATGTATTGTTTAGTAATGTCTTGGGGATAATTGCATCTATTCTATGAATTTAAATGCAGATGTGGAGTTGGAAGACACAAAGGCTGTAGCAGAAGCACTTGCTCAGTCAAAACGGGGTTTGTATCGGTTCTGTCCTAATTCATCAGACAACTGTGATTTATGCCCTAAAATGGGTATTTACATTCTGTCTTTGCATTAGAATCATCGAAGAAGGGAGAATCTGATGGGGATACAAGTCGTGAGAGGTTGGATAGGTTATCAAGGATGACTGAAATAGAAGATCTTCAGGGATCAAATAATCTTCCATTAGCACCTCTTTGCATTAAGGTGACTCCTCTGCCCTTGTGGCTCTGATGAATCACTTCTTTGTAGATGTCTTGATTGTTTGTGCCCCAAACCAGGATCCTCGGGATTATTTTGACTCTCAACAAGCCAATGCACTTAGAACTTCTGGAGATGCACTTGGTGGAACTGAACAGATAAAATGCAGTTTGAGCATCCCGGAGGTGTATTGTTCTTTAAGGGCTTCTATCTCGTTGATCAAAGCTATGGGTTTGAATGAGCCTATTGTCAAACCCGAAGTTGCTCATCAAGTAACAGCAATATCTTCGTGGTACTTGTTAAAATGGAAAGTGGTGGAGATAATAATTAATAGTGAAACTTTATGATGCAGGTTTTTGATGCTTTGACTTATAGTATCTCCAATACTAAACATAATATTGGGAAAAATCCTCAAGAGAGTGTTCTGGACAGGCTACCAAGGAAAACTAAGGAGGACCTATTGCATGTGAGAGTTCTTTGTTATATAGCTGTTTTTTATTCCATGGATTTTGGAACATTATCTGTTCTGCCTTCTGTTAAGGATGTGCATTTTTATTTTACTTAATTTGATAATTTTGTTTCTAGTTTGCTTATACTTATAGAAACTTCTCTATGTTTCCAGCATTGGACTTCAATCATTGAACTACTAAAACATTTTTGGTCATCATATCCTATCACCACCTCTTACCTCTATGCAAAGGTAAATCATGCACTTATTCTTGCATGTTTAAGTTATAAAAAACCTAGAGCTGGTATACCTTACGATTGACTGTTGATGATTTTTCCTGTCAATGGATGAAGATTCAAGTTTTATATAATTTTTCAAAATGGGGGAAAAATTAAATTACAAAAAGCTGTGTATTTTTCAAACGCGAAGCAACTCTGTTTTGTGTATTTTTCAAGGAAAAGCTGTGTATTTAGTTGTTGAACATTGTACTGAAAGCCGATGAAACTGAAAATGAAAGCATTGCATTCTAACATAGCATTCTCTATTTTAAATCTCAATATGATTGACTTTCTTGATTAAAAATCTCTACTTTTTAGAATTTATCATCCGAAGTGTTCATTCAGTTGCTCTATGCAGGTTAACAGACTGAAGGATGCCATGTCAAATATCTATCCACAATTAGAGGTAAATTTGTCACAAAAAAGTTTTTAAAATTTCTGATTTCTGTCTTGGTACCTGTTTTCATGGTTGTTTATATCTACAGATGATAACAGTATAGTCCCTGTAGTTCTAAATTAATGCTATTATTTTCCTTAACTAGCATTTCGTAAACTTAGTTCTATTTGATTCCACCCTTTATGCAATGATTTTGTTTTGGATGATGAGTCGAAAATGCTTTGGCTTTATCTTTATTTATTTCCTTCTGTTGATAATATTAGCTTTTCCAGTTTAGCTATATCATTTATAAGCCTGTCATAAAATTCCAGGAGATTAAGGGTTCTGTCCCGTCGGAGCTTCGGCATCAGGTTTCCCTCCTTGTTCGTCCAATGCATCAGGTGAGAACTCTTAATTCTTAGTTCAAGTCCAGAAAAATGAAAGGGAGAATACAAAGAAATATAAGAATTAAACTGCAGGCAGTAGTAGTTTCACTTATTCTCCTGAACTTGGGCTTCAAAATTCTACTACTGGCTTGGGTGTTTGCCCGTGTGATGGTTTTGGACCTCGGTTGAGTCTTGGGCTCGGTTTGTTCTACTTGCGTTAGTCTCATGAGCAGATGGTATTAGCAGCACATGCAGTTGCAGTCACGGCTCGTGTCCTATGGCATGAAATCTACAATACATTCATTACGGTGCCATCAGGCAATGCCTATTACGGCATATTGTCACTCGAAGTTGGTTTTGTTAGGTATAACTATTTTTCTGAAGTTCACTCCCTTGTGCAGGCCCTAGATGCCGCCATTCAACATTATGAAGCTAGCATGCAGAAGAGATCCACACAGAGTGGAGAGAAACCGAATGGATACGTCTAGGGAAACTTTTCCATTGTCGTAATATATGTCGTCTTCTTGTACAAACCTGTATAACCGTGGACCTGGTGCGGTCGGCGGGTGTTTTCGCGACCAGGCTCCCAAAAGGAGCCTAAGATCAATTTTGTTATCGAGGGGGTTTTGGTTCATGTCTAAACAAACATCACAGTTGCACATGCAACAGCTTTCAGAAATGACTTTCAACAGGATAGCCTGATTGGTAAGGTTTAAATTCTAGCTTGATTGAGCTTAAACTTATAAGACTAAAGTTGGATGAAACAAGTGAATTTATTAGATTTAACAAAATTGTTTATTCAGTTGAATTATTAGTTTTGACCGGCGATCACTAATCCAAGGCGAGGATTTTCATTAATTTATCAGTTAACTTTTAAAGACTGTTTTCTTTATTTTATTATATAAAAGCCAGGCCCCTCTTTTTCTGAGAAAGGACTCACTCAATGTTTCTGTATTGAAATACAATTTCATCCTTTAATTTCGTTTTATAACTATATTAAATTCTTAATCAATACAAAATGTTGTATAGGATGGGATGAAAAAGTTGATACTAATCCTTGGTTGTTCGATAGGTATACAATTGTTTTATGTATGATACACAATTATGTTGGATGAAAGTAAATTTTAATTTTCTAAAGGTTACTAATTTCATGATTTTAATCTTTGGATAATTTTTCTCCTTATGAATACTTTTCAACTACATAATAATTAAGGTAAAGGATGAACAAGCACTCTGTGTATACCTCATATCAGGCATAGCAGAAATAAGGGTGGCCCATCTTAGTTTGCTATATTCACAATCCTTTGATATTGCTTAAGTGATCTAGTGTCTCATCCCACTAGACCAACTTATTATTAGTGTGCATACCTCGTTATTTGAATATCTATTTTTTAGATTTATTTTTAAAAATATACTTAACATGTGATAAATAGATGCTTACCTATTTATTATATTTAACATATTTTTTAAAATATTTTCTATTAAATAAAAATTTAATATGATTGTCAAATATGTTAATTTTTTTCAAATTTTTTTATTAATTTATTAAACATTTTTTAAAGTTTACTGTAACAATTATAACCAAAACATAATACAATTACAATCAAAACAATATATATATATATATATATATATAATTATAATTTCAATTAATTATGATTAGAACTAATCATTTTATACATAAATATATAAGTAGAAAATATAATTATATCTGAAAATAAATTAGAATTAAAAAAAGTAATCAAATTATTAGATATATTATAATTAAAGTGATTTAAAATATTATATTAATAAGTTTTGAATTATTAAATAAGTAATTGATAGAAATTTATTATAATAAAACAAGACCTTACTATTTCTCATATATCCGGTGGTGGATTTCTTCATAAGATTCAGCAAATGAGGCTTAAATCTTAATTTATTTGGCAAAAAAAAAATGGAGATTACATAGTAAGGGGATTAAAATGGAAGTTCAGTTTTTATTTTATAATTGTACGCCGTATTTGAATACTGGTATTGTATAGTATATGAATTGTACCGTACCCAACAATTCACGTCGGAAGAACAAAATGGAAGTGAACACTCGGAATACCGAAAACACCCTTTCCCAAATAACCATCGACAGACCCTTCGTTCTCCTCGCTTCTCTTCTTCACTGTAATAAAAATCATCCCCCCCTCGAAAAAAAAAACCCTTCGCTCTCAGTTTCCCCTTTGTTTTTCCTTTTTTTTCCGTAAACTTCGAAGTTTACCTCTCAATTTCATTGCTATGACTGTCATGACCCCTGCTGCCGTCGATGTACTCTCTCTCTTTCTCTCTCTCTTTCTTACTTCCTTTTGTTTATGATTTGTTTTCTTTTGTTAATTGATTTTTTGTGTGTGCAATTTTGGTTTATTGATGGATCTGATTCTTCTGATTTAATTAACTTTTTCTGGAATTTTCTTCGATTTCTTTAGCAACAAGAAGACGAGGAAATGCTCGTCCCTCAGTCTGATTTGAACGACAATCACCAACCCATGGAAGGTACTCTTTTCCTTTTTTTCTTTTTCCTTTCGGGAAATTTACTACTTTAATTCGCTTACGTCAATGCAAGTTTCTAAAAAATAAAATAAAATTCTAGCTGTCTTTTGGATAGCACTGAAAAGGGAGGGGGTTTAATCTGATTGCGATCCTCGTGATTTGAATGTTTAATTGTTAGTTGTAGCGCAACCCGAGACTGCAAATACTGTGGAAAATCAACCAGTTGAGGATCCTCCTTCATCGAGATTCACTTGGAGGATTGAGAACTTCTCTAGGTTAAACGCTAAGAAGCATTATTCTGAAGTATTTGTTGTTGGTGGTTATAAATGGTACATCTCTCTCTCTCTCCCCCTTTTCTCGTTGATAGTGCTACTGTTCTTTTTCTCTCTGTTTTTTTTGGCGATGGTAATTGATGATTTTGATACTTTTGGTTATAATTGCTTAGGAGAATACTTCTATTTCCAAAGGGAAACAATGTGGATCATTTGTCTATGTATCTTGATGTTGCTGATTCAGCAAGCTTACCGTATGGGTGGAGTAGATATGCACAGTTCAGTTTGGCAGTAGTTAATCAAATTCATAGCAAATATTCTATTAGAAAAGGTATTATCCTTTAAGTAGATTATATGTACACCGTTTAAGTATTCTTTTCTTGGTATTATAAATTCAAAATAGTTTGTTGCTATTTTGCTGCGGCAGTTTCGTTTTTCTGATCAATGCCAGGTCAAGAACGTCCTCATCTGTGCTGCTCTTTCATCATTTCAAAGAGTTATGCTTTTGTCACCCTTTTGATAAGTAGTCTACTATGGATTTGATGCAATGAAAGTCATCTCTGATTAAAAAGAAAATGATGCCTTTATGATGCCCTATTATTAATCAAATTAAAAGGAAAATGTAGCCTTTATGATGCACTAGCTTAGCTCTTAGTAACATGTTCAAGTCTTAGTTTTTCTCAATTATTTTTTGGTTATTTGATGTGAATGTTATCATAACATTGGAGAGTATAATTTAAGCTTATTAAAATTTGCACTTACCTGACTTGGATTTTGCAGAAACGCAACACCAGTTTAATGCACGAGAAAGTGATTGGGGTTTTACATCCTTTATGCCCCTTGGCGAGTTATACGATCCTTGCCGAGGGTTTCTTGTGAATGACACTTTGATTGTTGAAGCAGAGGTGGTTGTCCGCAGAATTGTTGATTACTGGACATATGACTCAAAGAAGGAAACTGGTTATGTTGGACTTAAAAATCAAGGAGCAACATGTTACATGAACTCTCTGCTCCAAACTCTGTATCACATTCCTTACTTCAGGAAGGTAAGTACTGATGCTCCATATTTTGCCGAAATGATGTGTTGTTGGGTTACTTTTGTTAATGCTTCACTTGTTATATTTCAGGCAGTTTATCATATGCCTACAACAGAGAATGATATGCCATCTGGAAGCATCCCTCTCGCTCTGCAGAGTTTATTTTACAAACTCCAGTACAGTGACAGCAGTGTTGCAACAAAAGAGCTGACTAAATCTTTTGGATGGGACACACATGATTCTTTCATGCAGCATGATGTTCAGGAACTTAATAGGGTTCTTTGTGAAAAACTTGAAGATAAAATGAAGGTCAAATACATCAATGATCTTTAATCATGAGTTTATTCTAATGTGAATCCGAAGTAAATTATGATTTCTTCTGTTATTCCCACCAGGGAACTGTTGTGGAGGGCACTATACAGCAGTTGTTTGAGGGGCACCATATGAACTACATTGAGTGTATTAATGTGGACTATAAATCAACAAGGAAGGAGTCATTTTATGGTATCTGTTTCTTTCAAATTTTTTTAACTACTGCTTGGGATGTCACGAGTCCTGTTCTCCGGTTGATTCTAATTTACTTCTTGCCTATACCAGATCTTCAGCTGGATGTTAAAGGCTGTCATGATGTATATGCTTCTTTTGACAAGTATGTAGAAGTTGAACGCCTCGAAGATGATAATAAATATCATGCTGAGCAATATGGATTGCAGGTAAGCTTATGTTGTATTTTGTTAAACACGAGATTCTAAAAGATATTTGTAATGACATGATTAAAGTAGATGTAAAATTTTATCAATCAATTATCATGCTTCTAAGACAATACCAATAGGATGATCTATGCGTACATCACAAATTACTTGATTGCTTGAGAATTTTCCTTTTGTTAGATCGTTGTGCAGTAGTGAAACGCTGCATAACAGTTGCTGTTTTGGCCTGGGTGCACAGCATGTGTCTATTTTTGCGTACATCACAAATTACTTGATTACTTGATTGTAACAAATTGTCATCTTGTGCACTTCTGGAACTGGATTACTTTGGAAGTTTCCTCTTTACACAAGAATTCTTTTTTCTTTTAGTTTTTTTATTTTGCGTTTTGAATTTTGGATGATGTTATTCCAGGATGCTAAGAAGGGTGTGTTGTTCATCGACTTCCCTCCAGTCCTTCAACTTCAGCTTAAACGATTTGAATATGATTTTATGCGAGACACTATGGTCAAGGTTAGCAGTTATAACATATTAATTCTGTTTGTTTCTTCTTAGTCAATGGTACATGTGCAGCCAAGTGGTCTCCAATGTTAGTGCATAAAATGATAAAACATGACGAAAATTTTCCTTTTGCTGAAAGTATACAAGAAGTTAGTTCCATGTTCATGCTTAGCTCTTAATATATGCAAGCCTGTGTGCTGATATAATGCAATGACTGTTCTATTTTCTTTAATGACTTAAATGAGGCTCCATCAGGACTAATTTGAAGGATTAACCAAAAACTTATACCTTCCCATGAAGATGGAACATGGAACTAACTTGCTTTAAAGACTTAAAAGAGTCTTTAAAGCCTCTCTTCATTTTGTTTAGAGAACAAAATGCAATGACTAATTTGCTTTAAAGACTTAAAAGAGGCACCATCATGACTGTTCTATTTTTTCAGTGTATGATGGACCTTTTTTTTAATCTCAGTGAGACGTTTTTGTTGTCCTGTCATCTGACAGATATCAGCTTCTTGTTGGCTTGCTTTTATTGTTTTGTGCTAAAATTTTTTCGTTTGTTTATATCCTTGATTCTAATGGTTATATTAATATTTCCACTTGTTATGTAGATTAATGATCGCTATGAGTTCCCATTGCAACTTGACCTTGACCGAGATGGTGGAAAATACTTATCACCAGATGCTGATAGGAGAGTCCGCAATCTTTACACACTTCACAGGTGCCTTAAACATTAAGCATTTACTCTGTCTCAGCTGTGTTCTTTCATTTCCATCTTGTAATCAGTAGCTAGTAAGCTGAAGGATTAACCAAAAATTTATACCTTCCCATGTCCTTTCAACTTTTTTTTTAATTTTTTTTCAAATAAAGTTTATGGTAGAAATATTTCTTCTAGATGTTTTTCTTGGATATAAACAAAAGAAAAGTTTAGATACCACCCATGTACTTAGGTTCTCTAATGATGTTAAGAAAGGTTGCATATGCGTGTACCGGTTGATAGTGCTGGTGCGTGGTTTTTATGCGAAAGACATATGAAATGTTTATTTAATGCTTATAATAACATTATGTCTAGAATGCGACCATGCACTTGGGTTCTCTAATGATACCATGAAAGATGGTATATGCGCACAAGTTGATTTTGCTGTTGCACAATTTTTACTGACAGTACATATTACTTTGTGTTTCTTTAATGCTTATAATAACATATGGTGCTTACAACTTTGAGTTTGGTTACAGTGTCCTCGTTCACAGTGGTGGAGTGCATGGTGGACATTATTATGCATTTATTAGGCCGACACTTTCTGATCAATGGTACAGATCATATCAATGCGTAAAATTTATACTATGCAAAAGCTAAGTAAATGAAAAAGAAATAGGATAATAATTATTGTCATAAAAAACGAATGGATTACTAAATGCTTAGTCTGGTGCATGACTATTAAATTAGCTAAGGCAGATTGTAATTAAGGTACTCTATTGCTTGCATATGCCAGCTATGCTTCGGAGTCTTGAATGTGATACTTCTTTCATATTGATATTGTTTGCTTTTCAGGTATAAATTTGATGATGAAAGAGTAACCAAAGAAGATATAAAAAGGGCATTAGAGGAGCAGTATGGTGGTGAAGAAGAGGTACTAGCATGTTTTGTGCACTGTTTTTTTTAACTTCTTGTTTTAGTTTTTCTGCTTTTAACTGTATGTACCTTCAGGGTTATTGTTTTTAACAAAATTTCTTTTCTTGTGGTGTGCCAGTTACCACAGACAAATCCAGGATTCAATAATACTCCTTTTAAATTTACCAAGTATTCAAATGCATACATGCTGGTGTATATACGTGAAAGTGACAAAGACAAGATAATATGTAATGTGGATGCGAAGGATATTGCTGAGCATCTTAGGGTAAGATTTCATTGTTATATGTTGGAGCTGAAAACAGTGGTGGATCTTGACATTTAGTTTTGAGGGGGGCGATTGAAATACTAAATTGGTAAAAGAAAACTGCAATCTTGTCGAATATGTTCTTGTTGCTATTTCTATTTGGTTCTTGCAAACTGATGTGCTTATTTACTAATATTTTCATGCCAGTATATTTTCCTATATATAATATATATTATTTATGCTATCTTAATTCCTTTCCTAACTTCAGCAATTCCTTTTGAACTTCATATCCTCAACATATCGAACTTAATATTTAAATAAGCCGACATAAATGTTTCTGACATAGAAAGCAAAGAGATTCTTATTGAGGATTGAAAACGAAACAAAAACAGAATTTGAAGATTGAAAACGAAACAAAAACAGAATTTGAAGATCAAAATAGAAGACAAACATTCAGCAGCAAAAGTAGAAAAAACGACTCTCGGTAAGAGTTTAGTAGAAAAAACTAGTATTTAGAGAAGTTAGTTTAAGTTTGCATGATTTTGATTTGATATTTATATCAAAACAATTAATTTGTAAATAAGATTGGGGTACGATACAATTTGAAAATGTTGTTTTAACTTCTTTAGTTTATCGTACATAGAATTCGCTGTCAATTATATAAAGTTTATATCGAGGGTCCAATCTAATATATGATTACATATAAATATATACACTTTGATTGTTTTTAAAATTCGTTGAGGGGACAAGGCCTCCTTGGCACTTCTTATGCTCTGCCTTTTGGCTGAAAATGGGCCGATTCAAACGATGTGATAGGCAGGGAGTTAGGCTTGAAAAAGTTAACTAGTCCCCAACTAGGTTTGAGATTCGGTTACTAGTACCTACTAGGTTTGAGCTTGGGTTGTTATTGGCTAGGGATATCAATTGGGCGGGGCATGTGTGGTGATGCTCCTCCTGCACCCATCTCCGCGAAGAATTTTCATCCTCTGATTGTGTCTTGGTTGCTTTATCAAGAGTAATCAGCAATGAGCTCTTACCAAGCTGATTTTTAAGAGTTGTATCTCAATTTGGTTATTTCAGATCCTTCCTTTCTCACATTTTAATATGCAATGTTTTTAACTTTCTTAGGTGAGGTTGAAGAAAGAACAAGAAGAGAAGGAGCATAAAAAAAAGGAGAAGGCAGAGGCACACCTTTACACTATTATAAAGGTTGTTTGAGTCATTATTTTAGTGACTAGATTGAGCATTTTTTTGATTACTTTCTTACAGCTATATGATTGTCTAGGTCGCGCGTGATGATGATCTTGCAGAGCAGATTGGAAAGGATATATATTTTGATCTTGTGGATCATGATAAGGTCAGGAGTTTCCGGATTCAGAAGCAGATAACTTTCAATGTGTTTAAGGTATGGTAAATAGAAAAAAGAGGTTCTTTTCAGTGTGTTACTTTGCCCTTGGGGTAATAGTTTTACCGTGTTCTTGATTTATCTTGTTCGTGCACGCAGGAAGAGATTGCTAAAGAGTTTGGCATACCAGTGCAATTTCAGCGTTTCTGGTTGTGGGCCAAGCGTCAAAATCATACATACCGTCCAAACCGGCCATTGACACCTTTGGAGGAAACACAATCTGTAATATTCCTTGGCATAAATTATATATGTTTTGGTTCAAAATCCTTGTTTCAGGAGTATTTGTGTATAGTTTTTGCTTCAATTTTTGTTCAACAGAGATACATGCTTCTTTTTTTTTTTATAAGAAAGAGGCCTCGTTAAAAACCCCATTCATAACCGTCGAGCTGCAAGAGTAACCCAACGGATATTGGAAGGAGGAAAAGAGTGGCCCATAAATTTATTGCTAAGACACAAAGTACACCAAGGCTGCAACCAAGCAATTACAAACCAGTTCCCAAAGGCCTAAAGCTCTCCTCACCCGAGACACACAATACATAACATCAAGAACAAAACAACTACTCAATGACAGCTTTGGCTAGGCTATCCGCCTCCCAATTAAAGCATCTGTTAACATGAAACAGAGATACAGGCTCATTAGCTTTAACTGGTTGTCTTCATTTATCCTGATAGCCTTTGCATGCATATCGTTTTATGCCTATCCTGTTGAATGAATTTATATTTATACATATGTTTCTCTTTAAAAAATATGCCTTTCCTGTTGAATGAATATATATATATATTTACATATGTTTTTCTCTTTAGAAAATGTACAGAAAACCCCAGAAAAATGTTGAAAGCATGATGAATTTACCTTTTTAAAACTGTGTGCTAACTTCGACTTTCCTCACTTAGGTTGGAACACTGCGGGAGGTATCAAATAAGGTCCACAATGCAGAATTAAAGTTGTACTTGGAAGTTGAGCTTGGACTGGTAGTATGGTTTTCCATTTCTTAAGTTTTCTGTCTAGCGATGTTATTTATCTCATTCAGGATCTTCATTATCAGCCCCAAAATAAGAATAAGAGAGCATTTTTTGAGATTCTAAGAGCTTCTGCAAAAGGTTGTTTTGTCAGAGTAGAAATTAGGCATTGCCAGCAAGTCTTTTCATTTATTGCTAGAGTTCTGAACTCTAAGTTCCAGTGCAGTGAGTCCATGGATCTAAGCTTGGCAACCTCAAATGTATAAAAAAGTTAGGCATCAGACTTTGAAGTTTTAAGCTTCACTCATGTCCACTGTAGAATTACTTATCTGTCCTTGAAATACAAGTTAGTGAGATTCGTAACTATCTCCCTTTTGTTGAATTCTTCAGGAAGTTCTCTGTATGAATCTTATGAAAATGATTGTTCAATTCAGTCTTGCTCCCTTGTTGATTTTTTGGTTGTCTTATATTTGTTTCATGACTTAAACATTACTATTCAGGATTTACTCCCAATTGCTCCACCAGATAAGACAAAGGAAGACATTTTACTTTTCATCAAGCACTATGATCCTGAGAAAGAAGAGCTTCGGTAAGTTGTCTCATGTTTGTTTTTCCTTGTCTTCTGGCAAGGTAAGTGAAATCGTATGAGGGATAATCTTTCTGTTGTGTCAGCTTTGTTGGAAGGATGTTTGTGAAAAGCACATGCAAGCCAATAGAAATTTTATCAAAATTAAACAAAATGGCAGGGTATGCTCCTGATGAAGAGATCAACCTTTACGAGGTTTGCTTCTTATAATTATTTCTGCAATGGTTGTATTTTCAGTTCTCTTTCAACTCGTTTCTGTCATATCCATTTCTCTTTTGCATGCATTTGGTGATAGTAATTGAAGCTAATATATGGTTCTATAAATGAACCCCACCCCAACAGTGGTTTTATTTGGGATTATTCAGGCATATTCTCAGTTATTTTCACTTGGACGGTTAATAAATTACTTGTTTATTAATAACTATGTAACAGTATTTTTGCGTTTGACTGTGATGTTGTTATCATTTCCATCTGGTTAATTTGTCCAAACATTTGTTTAAATTTTGACATTCTGATGAGGAATAATACCTTGAGTATGCTTTAATGTACAGGAAATTAAATTTGAGCCCAGTGTTATGTGTGAACCAATTGACAAGAAAATAACATTCCGAAGTAGCCAGGTATGCGTTGCACTTCATTTTCGAATAATTGATATTTTGTTTGATCCTATTTAAGTGTTTTGTTCATATATCATTTTCCAATGCAGCTTGAGGATGGTGACATTGTTTGCTTTCAAAAGTCTCTCCCTGTTGAAAGCATTGAACAATTCCGCTATCCAGATGTTCCTTCATTTTTGGAATATGTGCATAATCGTCAAGTACATTCTCTTTATCCTTTATATATGCAACTGCCTTGCAGTGAGTTTATTTCATTATTTCCATTGCATTTTTATCTGAAGTCTTGATGCGAGTGCTGATGGTCAGCTGACCTGTCTGTCATGTGGCCACTTTTATATGGGTGCTTTTAAAAATTCTGCTTGTGATTGTTGATGTGTGCTAGTGTTGATCTGTCTGTCATGTGGCTGCTTATTATATAACTGCTTTTAGAAATTCTTCTTGCAATTGATGGTATGCTAGGTTGATTGGTCAGAAGCTAATGTGCAACTGATTGTGACTTTGTTCTCTCTGATTAGTTTTATTAGCTGGAGAGTTTTGTATGCTTTTCTGGACACATTTCATTAATTCTATGAGCAGTTTTTGATCTATCATCTTAGGATAGTGGTCACACATATCAATGTTTATCATCATTGCTATTTGCTAATAGATTAAAGCAGAAACAAATTAACTTATTTTTATTGCATTTGCACTGTTTCACTGTCTCAATAGGCCCTATAGTCTGATTGATAAGATCATGATATCTAAAGTTATCAATTATAGTGTTTGCTTGATTCCAGTAAACAGTCTATTTCTATGTTAAATTTCCTAATTTGAAAGTATTCAATCTTTCTCTCCTTTAAAAATGCATTTGATGAATGAAAATGGTAAGAATCACATTTGGTTCTGCATTTTCTATTTAAAGAAAATTATCTTTAAGCATAATTAATTCCGATTTGTTTATTTTAAACATAAAAGTTAACAGGACTAGTAGTCTAGTACGCAAGAACTAAATAGAAGAATAGGAGAAGTATAACTTTTTAGGTTGTGATGATGAATGCAGCCTTTTTCATTTGTATACGTTTATGGATTATGTTTTTGCATTACCCAGAAAAGGAGTAAGGTGTATGGATATATTTTTGTCTATTAATAATACAGTAAAAGCTCTATGTATCCATATAGTTTTCAAACTATTTTAGCTCACTTACAAATATTGCCCATGCCTTTGCATGTTAAGCTGTTAGCCTATCTGTAGAGACATATTTCTTTATGGTAGATTGTACACTTTCAGTCTTTAAACCTTCAGTTATATCCATGCTCGAATTAACTTTTTTTGCTTCATGAACAAAAGTAATATTTGATTTTTTTTATCCTTTCTTTATGGTAGATTGTACATTTTCGGTCTTTGGAAAAACCCAAGGAAGATGATTTTTGTCTGGAGATGTAAGTTCAAGATTTTGGTAGAAGTTGACTTCCTTTACTTTTGCAATTGACATAACTTTATTTACTGTTATTTTCTTCTATTTTTTTATATGAATGTGATGATCCAAGATTCACACTCCTTTCTTTTGAATGTTTAGGTCAAGGCTTTATACTTATGATGATGTTGTTGAAAGAGTAGCTCAACAACTTGGTTTGAATGATCCGTCCAAAATCAGACTTACATCTCACAACTGTTACTCTCAGCAACCCAAACCTCAGCCTATTAAGTACCGTGGAGTGGATCATTTGTCTGATATGCTGGTCCACTACAACCAGGTAATAATCAAATTCCCTTAGTAGTGCATATCGAAAGGCCAAATGATGAAAATCTAAGAGCTAACCAATTTTTAGTTTTTGTCAGACTCTGATATTTTTATATGAAGTGTTAGAATCCCTCTACCTGAATTACAAGGTCTGTTATTCATACTATTAGGCTTCCGAAACAGAGCACTGTGGGTGATGTGATTAACGATCTTAAGACGAAGGTAAGTGTTATTTCATTCCTTGGGTCAAAATGATCATGTTGAAGACACGTATTTTTTATGGATAATAGAATAAAATTGGTGAATCATTATTCTGAAACAGGTGGAGTTGTCTCATCCTGATGCAGAACTGAGGTTGCTTGAAGTTTTCTATCACAAGATCTACAAGGTCTGGATGTCATTATTTTCATTGTTGTTTTCTTTTAGTGTTTACCTTGAAAGTGGGAAATGAGCAACGGCAACTCTTTACATCTTTATTTGATTTCCTTGGGATGCTTAGGTGATGGATTGTAATGTCTTGGTTCTTTCATAATCCTCTAATGCCATCAAACTTTCTTATTTGTTTAAAACTTTACATTGCTTGTTGATAAGATTGTTTCACTGTTTAGTTTCTTGATAGCATTTCCGCATTTGTGTTTCATTTTTTTGTCTCTCTGACTGGTTTGCTATTTGAGGTTCCTTTATTACCTAGGCTATTGTACCTTTTCCTTCCCTCTAATTACAAAATTTTGAATGTTTCTATATATTTCTGCAGATTTTCCCGCCTAGTGAGAAGATTGAGAATATAAATGACCAGTACTGGACATTAAGGGCAGAAGAGGTTAGTTCCTTCCCCGCGCCTTCTGTTCCTATCATGCATGCACTCATATATCATGCATGTTGTGATCTAATGAATCAGTTTCCTTTTTTGTATTTTGCCAGTTCTGATTTTACCTAGTGAGAAGATTGAGAATATAAATGACCACTGGACATTAAGGGCAGAAGAGGTTAGTTCCTTCCCCGCGCCTTCTGTTCCTATCATGCATGCACTCATATATCATGCATGTTGTGATCTAATGAATCAGTTTCCTTTTTTGTATTTTGCCAGTTCTGATTTTACGAATATAATTTCATAGATAGTCTTTCTTTAAGATATGAAGAGCTGGTTTTGATGGTTGTTCTTTAATCTTACAGATTCCAGAAGAAGAGAAAAATCTTGGTCCAAATGATCGTCTTATTCATGTTTACCACTTCACTAAAGAAACAGCTCAGAATCAAATGGTAACAATCTTGATATTATTACACATTGTCTTATTTTCAGCTTCCATTTTGCTTTGCTTATCATTTCTTCTTTATCACTATCATGCTTCCTTACCAATTTATCTGTCTTGTTTTTGCAGCAAATTCTAAATTTTGGAGAACCGTTTTTCTTGGTGATTCATGAAGGTGAAACCTTGGCTAAAATAAAAATCAGATTACAGAAAAAGCTGCAAGTTCCAGATGAGGATTTTGCTAAGGTTGGTTGTACTTCCTGTATGCCATGTGAGCTTATGCTCACTGATCTACCCTAATCCTTCTCGTTTTCAACGGCTTTTCTCTTCTCCTTTGATGTTGACATATCCTCTGTCAATATGTTTTGAAGTAGACATTTTTCATTCCCCTGTCTCTGTTTTCCTATATCCTTTTCTTTTTTATTTATATGAAACCTGTTTTCTTTTCAGTGGAAGTTTGCATTCCTCTCGCTGGGTCGGCCAGAATACCTTCAAGATTCTGATATTGTATCTAGTCGTTTTCAGGTGCGCATATTGTTTTTTGTATGTTATTTGAAACATTTCTCCAAGTTTCATTCACATTTAACTTTACATATATTCAGAGACGAGATGTTTATGGTGCTTGGGAGCAGTACCTTGGGCTGGATCTTTTAAGGCCATGATTAATCAATCTGCTTTTTCCGAGTCCATAAAAATGGCTAGCCTTTGAGATGCCACGAATATGACTCTGCTTAAATGACATCACACTTCTTTGCAGAACCGGCACACCTTTGAGAAGCCTGTTAAAATCTACAATTAGGGACTATTTAGATTTTACCTCCTTTTAATGATATTGCACCATAGAGTTGCACTCTACATGAGCTAAAAGCAAATGACAATGTGGGGCGACAAGAAGCTAGCTCTGAACTGACATCTGTTGACATTTTCTTGTTGATTTTTATTGGATAATGTAATTCTTTGGGTCGAAGGACTTCCTTTTAAGTAAGCAAAGTGTGCGTCTGCAAATGTTGAATACGATCTACTGAGGTTTTTGCTACTACTTTCGGTCTTGGTTCTATCACAATGGGGGCAAGTTGCCTGTGTAATTTGTTAGTACATAAACAAGATTTTGGATTATTAGTGAATTTATGTATACACAGTATAGTTTAGGAGAAGATTTTGATTTTTGCTATTCCCTTTTGTTTGGTTTCCCTTATTTTTTTGCCCATTTAGCATTAGCTGCTGCCCTTTGTAATGGTTTTTTTTCTTCAACTTTGCCCAACTCTGAAGCCTCAAATCTTTTCAATGTCAATCTCCAAATTTGTTCCTCTTTTGTTCTTTTGATACAAAGCTTATTCCTACATGTATGCTATTCATGATGTAGGTGCGAGTTTTAGTAATCATGAATCAAATTTGGGATATTTTTGTATTTTTTTCGAAGTAAATTCTCAAATAAGAAAAAGAGGGAAAATGGCAAAAGAGGTGTCATCTCTTTTTGATTTTTTGTTGTTGGTATAGTGGACCACATGACATCTCATCTGTTTGCTTTTGTGTGCAGGATGTGACTTGACTCCATCCATCCATAATAGTATGAACATGTACCATGACCCAATTTGGACCACATTTCGGTCTTCTCGGGGCTTATGTGGTTCTTATTCCACCCCATGTGGATTTTTCCATTACATGATTTTAGTGATCGCTTATTACATCACTCGTCTTTTGTGTCCACATGCATTGGATTAAAGGACACATGGAACAAAAATGTTTTGGACATAAATTCGGTACATGTCTTATCTTATTTAAGAACAATAGCACGTGCATGAATTAAATGCCCACATGTCATGACCTTTGAAACGTAGTAGGCAAGGAACCTAAGGGGTGTCTCAATAGTAAAGAATGATACAGTATTTTTTTTTTCATGATTCACAGTTAAATAATAAAATCTTTAAGATTCATATATAAAACAATTACTATCATGGAATCACGTATGAACATAAAGATTATCCCGATAAATATGAATAATACTTGTTTAAAGATATACCCTGCATTATTTAGTAGGTCTTAACTGTTGATATTTGTTTTGAATCTCATATGTAAATGTTATTGGGTATAATTTTAAAATTTTAGTTCGAATATCTTATTGAGTTGATTTTTGAAAATTAGGTCTTCAATGAACGACCGGAAGTTAGGGTCAACTTACGTTAGGCGGTTGTGAGAGTGACTAACACGGAGAGAGAAAATTGATGGGAACGTTAAAAAGATGACGCCCGAAGTGTGCGAGGCTCACAGAAGAGACACGATGAAGACCAATAGGTGGAGACATTGTTGCGATGGAGACAAGAAGACAAGCCCAAATGGGAGTTTGGAGGAATCGTTGGATGAGTGGTAACTATATTATCGACAAAAAGTAAAGCAGAGGTCGAACGACGAAGGATGGATCAACGATGATGTGAAGACGATGGTGGGAACTATGGAGAACGCGAGGATAGTTAATAGAGACGAAATTGAAACAAAAAGGGACATCCACATAATAAGTCCCTAAACTATGACAATTTTAAAAGTAGGTCATTAAATTATTATCAAATTATTATTAAATTTATAACAACCCTAAACCCGATTGGGCCTAAAGTGTTACATTAGCTATCGAGACAACCCCTAGTTTTAAAATATTTGTTCATTTTTTCAAACATACTGAATGGTATTATGATAAATCATAAATAATTGATATAAAAACATTTTACAGACATAATTTAAACCAAAATAATACGGACAGTGAGTTTAATAAAATGAATACATGAGTAAGGTCTTATGAATACATATGCCCACTAAAGTTACCGTGCAGTACTCTATCGGAGATGCTGAAAGTTCTGTTGTGACGATGCCCCACGAACTGCCCAAACTATTGACCTGCCAACAGAAAACATATGAAGGCTGAGCATACAAAGCCCAACAGTATAATCGCTAATTTAGAGCAACATAAAAATTTTATAAACATAAGCATGCCGAAGACATGGTACTAAGCAGTTGGTGCATGCATAGCCTAGATCAAGTGCTACCTATATAAGGCTTATTGTTCTATCACTGAAGTAAAGGTCGAAGGCTTCCCTTAATCCTCTGCTAAGGGCCTCACCATGAGTATACCTCTAAAGGGTCTCTAACCCTAACGACTGAACATGCTACACATTATCTAAATGCGATACTGATACTCCTACGTATTATCTAAATGCAAACCTAACATACTGTGCATTATCTAATGCAAACCTGACTAGTATTTGGTCTAACATAGCTATCAAACACTTGTTACTGAGGGAACCCCAATGTCACATTGCATCATCGTAGTTCTTACAAAACATACTGAATGATCTCCTGGTCCTCACATAGTCATCAGGTAGATCACTAAGGAGAACCCAGTGTCACATAACATTAGTACAATTCCCATACAAACTAAACCATTGCTCGGTCTCACATAGCCTTCGAGCCAAACTTTAACATATCTGACATACCAAACTGATGGGACTATACATGCATGACTGATACAAACAGACATGAGATATGTCTGGTGGCATAGTCGGAGAAACTTACGTGCATCTTAAAACGACATCCCAACTTACCTTGAGTACGAAAAAACTAAAGGTAAAAGCGAAATTTACGTGCATCGGAAGTTTACCTGACTGTATTGAACTGAAAAAACTACCCATGCATATCTAAGGACCACATGCCACATAACTCTAACATCACTAACCTACTCCTCATGAGTGTTCGGGCCTCACACCCTAGTAAGCTCCTGAAGTGTCTCGTTGATAACTCCGTAAAAATGTCATATTTGGGACCTTTTTACTTAAGTTATTGATTGTCTAAGAGCTCATATAGATGCATTTAGGAGCATATAGTTGCATTTGGTGGAATTCTGTTTGTAGCGACATGTTATTTTGTAATCAGTGTTGCGTTATGGGTAAGGTGTTTTGTTTGATGATGTGTAAGATTTGGGAGCAAGGATAATAAAAAGCGAATTTCCATTACATGATGAGACTACTGAGCAAAATACGATTGCCGCGACAACTCGGACGATATTTCTGGGTAGAAAAAATAAAAGAAGATATTTTTAGTAAGAGCCAGCTATCACTGACTATACGTGATTTCTGCAATCAACCACATAGGAGGGGACATTACCATCTCTGGAATGAACTTTAGGGTACTAGGGTAATTTTAACACAAAACCCTAGGTTCATTCTCCCTTATAAATAGGAGATAAAGCCACAATGAAAAACAACTTTAGACAAGTCGTCAAGAGCCTAAAGATTCAGAGAAAAATGTCTCTCCTTTTTCTGTCAATCATATTTGCCATGGCATTCCTCCATTGACAAGCTAGAGGGAGTGGCGTTCTAGGTGTCCGAGAGGAGCTAGTTCGCTGGGACAGTCTGTGGTGGCCAAGGGAAGCTCTGGCAGTGCACGTCGAAGGCTTTTCCTCATTCCCTTTGCTCTTTGCTTTCATATTTTATCATTTGGGTTGTAAGGAACGAATTAACTTGCTTTGTGCTTTTTTATTTCGAACCCCACCATGAACTAATCTTATTTGGCTGGAGTTTATTTTGGATATTTAAATTTTGCTTTAATGAATGGTTGTTTTTCTATGTTATTATCTGTTTTGTTTATGGATCTTAGTGCCTTAAGGTTGTAGGAACTATGAGAGTAGCCATTCATTAGGAGATTACTTAGTGTTCGAGAGAATGCCTAGGTAGCACATCCTTAGTGTTCGAGAGAAGCTAGGGAAGAACCATATAAGCAAGGGGTTCTAGATAGTAACTAGGCCTAATCCACCTTAGAGATAAGGCTTGGATTTCATTCGACTAAAAAGAGTTGTGGATGAGCGATAGGTTAGATGTTAATGCTGCCGTAAAAAGGTATTGCCGAGACATATCCTGTTATCTGGACCAATAGGATCACTGCAGGGGATAATGCCAACCGGTTTTGCCAAGGCATCTTCAATATGTCAAGTCCCTTACTAGAGATAGCATAGGGCACCCTAGTAGACTCTGTCGGGCAGATAAGGCAGAGAAGTAAAACTATTCTAAGAAGTGGACTTAGATTTTCCTTAGTGACTCCTATCACTCATTCCCGTAGTAGCTTGTCGTGTGAAGAAGTCTAAAGTCCTTATAATTAAATCCAGTATTTACATTTTGTTTTGTCTTTACATTTCCAATTGATTTCAATACACTCAATTTGCTTTTGCCAAGACATTTCCATCCATTTTGCCACAACATCTCCATTTGCTGCCATATTACATTACACCATCATTCCATTCCGACCTACATCTATTTCATTTTGTCACAGCATTCTCATTTGTTAATATCATTAGTTGTACTTAGTTACTTTAGAATAGTACATAAACTTTACTCAAGATCTCTCCAATCCCTGTGGATACGATACTCACTCATCACTGTATTACTTGTTCGATTGTGTATACTTGCACATATTTCGCGTCCATATTTAGTACTCACAATACACATACAATTTTTTGGCATCGATGAGACTACTGAGCAAAATACGATTTCCACGACAACTCAGACGACATTTCTAGACAGAAAAGATAAAATAAGATATTTTTAGTAAGAGCCAGTTGTCATTGACTATACGTGATTTCTGCAATCAACCACATAGGAGGGGCCCATTACCATCTCTACAC